ATTATCGCGTGAGTGTGAAGGATGAATTTGCTATAGCTGTATCCGTCCCACACAGCGTTAGTAAATGTTGGCAAGCGCCGCTCTGTGAGATGTGGTCACAAAAGAAAAGGGAAAAGGCGGCAACAGTAGTAACAGCAGCAGCGACAGCAACAGGGGAGGAATTGGTGGCCACAATAACACGCAGGCAATAACAACAAATTATTCCCCCTGGTCCTTTTTGTTCTTTTTGTTCCGTTCCTGTGGTTGTAGCAGCAATCAATGGGCACTGGAAGGCTCCCGTCCAAAAACACTCCGCGTGCAGCTGCGCAGTTGATGCCACATGCATCACTCCGTGTCGGTTTCTGTGTGTGTGCCTTCCTCTTTCCGAGGCATAGACCCACACACAAAGAGAAAGAGGAAAAAAAAAAAAGTAGGTTAAGAGAGAGGGGGTAAATAATGTTTAAAAATAAGCCCTCTGATTCCTTGCATTCTGCTTGCTTACATGAAGGCCGGTTTTGGCAAAGGCTCGGCAACCCTTTTCCCCCGCAGAAAAAAAAAAAAAAAAAATCTCAAAAAAGAGAAAAAAAGACACCCTCTCCTTTTTCAATGCAAAAAAAAAAAAAAAAAAAAACTACATCAACTCCCACTGGTAGCTTCGCAGTCAGTGCAAATTAATGAACAAAACAAAGGGATGAGAAGAGTCACAGTCCACACGCGGAGGTTTGCATTGCTGCCCTCCCAACCAAACATTTTTTTCCTTTCAACAAAAAGACATACATGTACTCCAATACGCCTTCAGGCAGCAGAAGGAGGTGTGACGCAGAATTATTTTTTTTTTTTTTTTTGAGAAAGGAAAACGGAATTCCCAATACTCAGCAATTATTCCCCTTCTTTGCCCTCACTATCGTCTCGCATCTCACCCACTGTACCGGTGTAAATGCCCACAGGTGGATGAAAAGAATACCGTTGTTCCGTTTTGTGGCGCCGCTCTTCCTGGCCGCCGTGAATGCAGTCGCGATTGTGGCCAACCGTAGAAATATTGCGATGTGTGTTGTTCCTTCCATGCGGTGGGGACAAATTCCCCAAAGAGTGCAATCGTGCCATGCCCTCCGCAATCTCATTCCGAAGCATTTCAATATTGGAAAGCGGAGGTGTCGAGACAATCGAGTATGAAGACGATGCCAGAGGTGCGATGTCACAGGCAAGTGCACGTTGCGAAAGAGCGGCCTGAATCACCGCCCTCCGTAGACACGCTACAGGGCTCCTGTTATTGTTGGACCACTTGTCAAAGTTGCTGGTCACAGCTGTTCCTGCAATGCCGCGGCCGGAATGCCCTCTCAGGTTTGATACATGCGCCGCTGATGCATTCCACAAGGCCCCACCGTCGCCGAAAGAAGAAACGGGCGATGCAAAACTCAACGACGGCGTTGTCCTCTTGTTGAACCCAAACTCCCCAGTTTCTTCAGTCGAGGAGGAAAAAGAGGAGTTAGCTGTCGATAGACTGCCATGATTCTTCGCCACAGGTGGAGACGAATGCATGGGAACCACAAACACACGGAACTGCCATCCAACTCTAAGGCAATTCTCACGCGTCAAAGGCACATAGCGGCCTAAACGCTCACTGTAGAAAAAAACGGCACGGACCACATAAGACAGCGGCGCCACTACGCGCATTAAGTGACGAATGATAACATTCTCATCAAAGAGAAGGGCGACGCTGCGTTTTGGGGCCATACATTCCAGTTTCATAAACCCTTCCTCTGCGTCATCGATGCCTACCACACCTGTGGTGAGTGTGACGCGCCAGCGACGATGGTGTGCCCAATCCAGTGGTAACACAAAGCCAGTGCACTGCTCACCACACGCAGCCGCGCTTTTCCGAGTAGCTGACAAAAATCGCGATGGCAAACGCCGGGGTCCGTAGTTCCCCAAAAGTTGCATTGGAATTTTCGAAAGAGGCACGGGCTCTGAAGCTTTCGACGGTCTCAGATTGCCGCCATCTTTGTTGTCATCGTTCCCAACCTGACACCGGGAGCGGTGTGGTGCGTCGGTGTACGGCTTCTGCATCACCGTCCGCAGACGTGTCTTCCACCTGCATGTCTCCTCATCGAGTTCAGGGGATGAGCCGAGTGCCTCAAGAGAAGAGAAGCCCTCCACTGCGGTGCCCCTCTCTTCCTTCTCAGGGCTGATTGCGCTGAGTTGCGACAGGCATACATGCCCCTCCGGGTTATTTAATACTGTGGAGGATGAATACGCACATTGTGGCTGTTCAACGACAAACCTCTCCAATGGCTCCCGATGAGCCCGCGGCCACATCGTTTCCACACCCGTCATCCTCCCTAACCCCTTTTCCTTACGAATAACACACACACCAAAAAAAAAAAAAAAAAATGTGTATAATTTATACCTCCCTCAATGCGTCAAAGAAAGAAGCAAACAAGTAAAATAAATAAAATAAAAGACGCCTGCATAATCACCATGAGTGAAAACAACAACGGCGAACGCGCACGCCAAAGCAAATATCAATAAAGAAGATGAAGATGATGATAAAAGTTAAACGCACATGCACACGCACACACACAAAAAAAAAAAAAAAAAAACGAAGACGGGGGGAAATGGAAAGACAAAAACTCCAAAAAAAAAAAAAGTAGCTATAAGCACACAAAAGACCATGATGATTAGAAAACCCTGCCACAGCCGGCCACTTCAACGTGATGCCAGGGTCTAGTACGCTTTTACCAGAGAAAAAGCCAACTGCCTGCTATTCATACTTCAGACCCAATAATTACTTCTCAACTTAGTTCTACGGGCCAGAAGGGCACTAGATGGAGCCATTTGTAATGACTGCCTGTGGGTTAAAAGTTATTCCTTGCTGTTGAATTCCATACTACGCTTACCAGGATCAACTTGATGCGCTGGTAAGGAAAAAGGAAAAAGGAAAAAAAAAAAAAAAAAAAAAAAGATTGATTGGAGGAAAAAAAAAGAAACCCAAAATTTCTTTGTAATCCCAGTAATCAATCACGCTGCCTCTTCATTATACGCTTCCAATTCATAGATGCCGCTCTCGCTCGCTCCGCCTGGAGCCTTCGTCGTCGCAAAAAAGATGTCGTCTTCTCCCACACCGCTTCCAAACCTTTACGGTGTTGTGCAAATCCGGTCTTCGCAAGTCGCAGCCCCTCCTCCGTTTCCCCCAACCAAAAGTCTCTGCTTTCTTGCGTCATCAACGCCAGGACTTTGTCCCACGCGGCCCGTGCCTCCTCCTCGCATTTGACACAAACACCGGTAATGAGAATATAGACAGGGGACTTCGTCAGGTGCATTGTCTCTAAAATGTGAATGCCACCGTGCACAAGTGGCTGCACAAGAGCAAGCAAAATGGAAAGACTGGCACACTCTGGAACGCCAAATACAAGCATAATGACACCACCCTCCTCAACATGCTCCACTGCCAATCGAAGCTGCGGTACAAGGAATTTAAACCACGGTAATACGGGCTGCGCATCGTCGTCACTAACAACCACCGCATGATTTCCCCCACCATCCTCCGTGTCATTTGACAATTTCTCCGCATTGCGCTGCCCGTGGTCCTGCACAGCACCACCGTTGACAAAGTAAAAATTTCGCCCTTGAATGGACTCATGCCAGTCATTCTCCGTGATGCTTCCCTCAATAAACTCGTACTGTGCTGGAGTCGTTGACGAATGCAGCCATGACGAGTCAGATGCGATCCCCCCGCGACTGACAGGGAGAGAGACACCAACGCCTCGCCACCGCAGCCGCGTCACAAGAAATTTTGACACGCCGCCAGGAGCAGAGCCAAGGTCAAGAAACGTTGGTGGGGAACTCTGTTCCTCCTTCTCCTCCTTCTCCTCCTTCTCCTTCTCTGTTGCCCTCCCCGCCGGTGGCCCGCGAGTTGCCTCAGAAAAAGGCTTAAAGTAGGACGGTGCAGCACGCATGAGAACTCTCTCGGCATGCTCACAGTACCGCTCACATAACTTCACAATGTCGCTATTAAAAAACGATGTCGACGATGGGGCCGTCATACCCCCTTGACGTTTGACAGCCTCTTCATCCTCTTTTTTGTGCCGCTGTTGATACCACCAATCCAACGCCTCAGATTGCCACCCGGCAGCGCGCTCACGTTCAAGCTCAGAATACATCGCAGAGGTGGTTTGCAAATATTCCCGCCAACGACGACAGGCGCCAAACTCCATACCTGCATTGGCAGCAAACCCATCGGCACCCGTTGCTGCCCTGCCCATATTCATGTCCATTTCGCAGTCACAATCCACCTCACTTGTTGTTGTTGTTGTTTCCTCCAACTGCCATGCATCAAAAATAAAATAGAAACACAAATATTATTTAATAAAAATAAAAATTAAAATTAAAAGCATCAATGAACTCCCCAACGAGTAGGAAACGGCCCAACAACTCTCTCGGCGCAGAAACCGTGAAGAAGCCACCTCCCCCTCACATACACCCATCAAACATGCCGTAAAATTAAATTAAAAATGTTAAACAACCCAAAAACAAACCGAGACACAAGCCTCAGGAAATGGGACAAATGCACCAAAAGAAAAGCAAAAAAATTTTAAGATAATTTCCTTTTCTCTTCTCCGTCTCCTTCTCCGCCTGGCCCACCGTGTACTGCAGTTCACACCCACACATAGACGCACACCCATCAGTCTTCACTCTTCCTCTTACTGAGAAATGTAAAAACTTCAATTCGCCGCAGGGTTCTTCTTGTTCCGCTCAATATTATAAATATAAAGCTTCTTCAGTACCGTGTCTGTACACTGACCAAACGCGACGTTTTCCTTGAAGCATTCCGTTGACCATCGCTCTCCCGCAGCCTTTTGGCACTTCACACCGGCGTCATACTCCTTCTTGCAAAATACTTGTGCAATCCCTTCCAAATAAGCACCCTTCTGCTTCTGACAAACAAAATTGATGTCGTCATTGACGCGAGATTGAAGACAGAGCTCTAGGTCCCGTCGTTGCTGGTCATACACCTTCGTGAACTTGTCCGCAAGTTCATTAAACTCCTTCGTGTTGCGAGACATCACCGCTTAATGTTCCGTACAAAAAGATATGATTCTCTTCCAAATTCGTCACTCAATCACCCACATATAAATATGTACTCCCAGACACACACACACACACACACAGAGAGAGAGACCTTTTCCTTTTGTTGCTTCTGTCCTTTTATCCAGCATACACAAGTGTTTGTATGTGCCGTGTATGCAATACGTCATGTATATTTTTTGTGGGTGAAATGTTTTGGCAAGAAACAACACCCCGTATAAACAAAGAAAGAAAAAAAAAGAAATATGTCATGTATATTAACTTTTTTTTTTTTAAAATCATTTGCAATGAGTGGCGGGAGTACTGAATCATCTGCATGCCAAATAATAAAATAAAATAAAATAAATAAATAATTCCCCTTTTTATTCATTGTTATTTACTTCCATCTCTCTTTCTCATTGGATCTTTTTATCCGTCTGTCTACCTTTCATTGTTATTTCCTTCTTGTTGTTGTTGATTTCTCTTCCCTTGCCCCTCTCTCTCTCTTTCTCTCCGTTGAAGGGTTAAACGCCCTTTAAATTTGAAATCTTCCTCCTTTCTTTGCCTTCCTCTTCAATGTTCCCTCCTCCGCCCATGTATGTATGGATGTATGCACACAAATGGTTCTCCTCTCTCGCCTTCTCGCCATCGACGGTTCAAATTCTCTCCATGCCTGTCATCCCACGTTTAAATCCCTTACAAGAATGGGAAATAAAATCGCAGTGGATGACCCTGTTCTCTGGTAATGCACACATGCGCACACGGCAAAGTAAAGGGGAGAAGGGTACTGTGTAAAAGAGAAAGGGGAAATAACTAACGATGGCGCTCAAGGAACATGCGCACACCAGAGGTGCCAATGAGTCGGCCTGACAACACAGCCCGTGCATGTAGTGCGCTGCCTTCATCCACAAATGACGCTACAACAAATTCCACCAAATCACTTCCCTCCATGGGTGTTGCCGCCGCAAACGGCATCTCACTCGCCCTAATGTCATGGTCCTCGTCGTCGCCACTTTTAATTTCATTATTCGTCTTTTTCTTTGTCGTCTTCTCTTTGGAGCGCCTTCTCACATCCCTCTGTTCGCTGATACCAGCCGTCGTATCCTTATTAAGACTAGTAGTACTACTATTAGTTATTTTTGTCGTTGCCGCTTTACCCGTAGAAAGCCTGCTAAAATTGGCGCCGGTATCGTTTTTTTCATTCGAATCGACAAGTGCAAGAAATCCTTGCACGCCTCCAAGCGCAAACAGTGCGAGAGCGCGAGGGGCGGCAGGTACAAGACGGACATCCACCAGACATGCCTTCTTTGCACATTGTACAGCAGAAAGCGGATAGTACTGCACCTTCCACCGCCTGCCGTAAATCTTGGCATTCTGCAGGCGTTTAAACATGGCCGCCGCAACAGCCTTGCTAGGAACTTCAAAAGTGAGCGTCGCTCCACCGGCCTCCTCCATGATGCCAGCATCCGAGATGTGTTTCTTGTGCTCTGGCAAGAGATGTCGTAAGGTGCGGGTGTAGATGGCGGCCATGTTACTTGGAAGATCTGCGACGATAAAAGAACCATGACAAACATCAGCATCTGCTCCCTCATGACAATGCTTTTTGATCTCCCGCCCTCCTCCTCCTTTATTATCATCATCATCGACATCACAATGTGGAGAACGCGGACGTTTTGTGGGGGGTGGTGCGACGGCAACAGCGCCCTTACTCCCGTCTCGTTTTGCTCGTGACATGTCTCTTCCTCCTCGTCCACTCCCCTATTTTCCGTTTACCATCCAACAACCGCAAATAACTAAGAGCCGTGTGTGTGTCTGGTCTGTATGCACCCTGCGTATCTGTAGGGACCCCACAAACCCTCACACACCTCTGCTATCAGACGTGCACGCACCAAAAAAGCCCTCTGCTTTGTACATCGCAGCAAGCATAAAGTAGGAGAGAAGAGAAAAGAGCGCAAAAGAAGGTAGTGATGATCGGTAGATTTCTATTTCTGCTTTTTGCGACGTCTGGACGCTTTCCGGAATACGCAAAGCAGCAGCAGCAGCAGCAGCAACAGCACCTCAAAAGGAAATAAAAATTCCACAAAACTCCATGGGAAAGTAAATAAATGGATGGATGGATGGATAAAAAGAAAGTCTTCTACGCCTGTTTTTCCTATCCCCCTCGTCTGTCTGTTTGTCTGCCTCCTTCTCACTCCCAGTCCGTGGTGGTATTTCATAACTGCATGGACATGTCGATTATCCATGACATCTCATTCATCACCACGCGCACACACGGGAAAAAGAAAAAAAAAAAAGAATATGTAAAATTCAAAGGATTTTGCAGGGCCAAAACAGTTTTCTTGTTGTTGCTTTCTTTTATTTTATTTCATTTTTTTTAACCCCTCTCGTTCTCTTTCTGGGTGTTTTCTCCCATCCTCTTATCGCTTGCCTTCATCCCCACCACCCCTCCCATCCTGCTGCAGCGCCCAAGACGTCGTCACGCACCATTTACAAAACATGTAATTGTGGAAGGCAGTGGGACTCACAGTGGCCACAGCTGCAACCGGGGATATTGACGCTGTTGTGCGCCGTTGCTGTTGTGATGGTGATGGTGGTGCTTTTCCAGCAGCAGACAGCGCAACTACCTCTTGTGGGGAGGTGGCAGCAGCCGTTGGGCCCTTTATATGTGCGGTGTTGCTCCTACCATGAGCCATGGAGTATATCTCCCCATCGGAGACGGCAAAAAACGGCATCGTCTCCTCCGTTATTAGAGGAAACACCAACTCCGCGGTCCTACCATCCAGTCGCATGTGTTTCAGCAGGCTCACACACCACAGGTCGGCCGCCAATCGACATTCCCGATGCAGATTCCAAAAAGCCTGCAGAAATTCGCCAATTAGCCTCTGATGCTCTTCACAAGAATCGAGCGTGGCGTTCAGAAAGGAACTGGTGTGGGGAGGATATCCCTGTCGTGGTGGACTGGAGTTGCTCCCGCCGACACTTTTCCCTGCGCCTCCTCCCCCTCCGCCTTGGCGCGAGGATGATACCCGACACGTCTCGGTCTCTGCGTCCCCCGCATCCGGTGAGGCCTCATCCCCACACATCTCCAACGCCACCCCAACAGCACCAAGAAAAAAAGGTGCTGTTTGGTGCGAGGGCATCAAGTGGCCATCGACTGCAGGATTGTCCGTGCCGCCAGCAAAACCACTTGGGCTCTGCAATCTTCCTCGTGGTGAAGTCCCGCTCATGTTATCGCTATTGCCACTCCTGGAAGCAAGGCTGTCCGTCCTAGTACTATTGCTGCTATGACTACTACGACTAATATTGCAGCTGCTGTTTTTGTTGCTGTTACCATTTGGGGGGAAAAAAAGCCCGGAGCAACCCTGTTCCATACGATTAGTCATGCTCAACTCAGGTGCCTCATCAACACCTGTATTGGCAGCAAAAGAGCCGCTCTGGTTTGAGGTGGAAAGGGGAAAAGTGTCCTTCTTCTCCCTCTTCGCAGCAACGGTGGCCGCTTGAGAGAATCGTGTGCACCATTCCTCTGCATACTCATTATATTCTAGCATAATGTCGTAAAAAGCACGCCGACAGGAACGACTCAAAAGAGCAAAGGTGTTACTGCCTCCAAGAAGCACCTGCTGGGAAGGAGCCGGAGGTGGCAATGACGGCATCACCTCGTTTTTTTCCTCCGACAACGCCGTGTGAAACCACTTGTCATTCAACAACTCCTCCGCGCTAGGGCGTCGCGCGGGATCCGCACAGGCACATCGCTGTACGAAGGCAGCAAACCGCACGGACCACTGGCCACAACGTAAACGGGGCAATGGGCGATGATGTCGCTTCATCCACCACGGACAACCACCATCCGCCAAGTGAATAGCAAGCATAGCAAGCATCCAGATGTCGTGTGAAAACGAAAAGGGACAAAGTGGATTGCGCGTATTATTTGTTTTTCGAAAAGGAAAGGCAGAGCCCATGCCAGACGCATTCTTGGATTCAGGTTGTAAGGAAGTATTTTTTGCCTCCGAGGAGGGCACACCGGTCAATCCCTCCTCAGTTGTAATGCACTCTGGTGGTGGAATATATTCCTCTTCTTGTAGAACAAAGAGTTGTAGGGCATCCATTTCCTCCCCAGCGTACTCTGGAGACATATTCTCAAGAAAGAGAGTCGAGTCCAACAATTTGGTCAACTGGAGTGGTGCAGAGTTAGAACGTACAACTGAATTGAGCGCCGTCGTGTTGAAACTTTCTCTGAGAGATGTCTTCATTATCTTCTCAACCTGTGCATAATATCCGTCCGCAAGAACGACGTGCTTCGTCCACTCAAGTGGATCAAAAACTTCTGTAGACCTGCTGCAGCCTCCGCCGCCTACACAGATTCCACCCCCCTCACCACCACCGATGCTTCCTCCACTAGAGCTATTGCTGCTTCCACGACTGACGGCATCAACGTTGCCCCCGCCCACTTCACTCGTGTCCAGCGTCACTCCGCTCCACAATCTACTGGCATTACCCATCCCAGTGGAGACCGGTAAGGGATCGGTAGCATTTGGAGAGTATGACTTCATTGCGTTCAATGCTTCCATGACATGAGAGGTAACAAAAACATTCGTTGCCTTTATACTCCCATGGGCCCTTCCTCTCCGGTGTAGCACCACAAGGTGCTGAAGAACGGCATGTATAATGTTTCGAATGGCTGTCTCACGAAGAAGTTGCGAGGGACTCTGAGTACGGATCCATTCCTGAAGGACTTCATGTATGTTGCCTTGGCGCACAATTGGCATTGATAAGGCGATGGCAAACAACGGTGATTTCGCCTCGAATTGCTCCATAAGACCAGCAGTACGGCCATGTTCTTTAGAAGTTTTCATATCCACTTGAGGGGCATCTGAAGGTAACGTCCCAGCCTTGGTACGGTCGACCCGAGCGTGTTTCCCCTTCTTCACACGTGTTAATTCACTCAGCGAGGTGGCTATGACTTTTCCAGTGCAAGAGGATCGAGAAAGACTCTCTAAACCTGAAGGAACTCTACTAAGTTTGGAGGAATGCCTTGACACCCGCTGCGTTCTCCGAGTGGGACTTTCCCCCAAACAAAGTCCAGGCTTCCGACGCCGTTGGGATAAATTTGAATTGGCTGCGACAACCGAAGTGGCCGCCGTATTTGTGCGTCGTCGCTTTGGAAACGTAAAGGAAGTGGATCGCCCCTCCTCACGCAATGCCAGGCCCTCCGGGTTCAAGGAAACAACTTTGACCCCAACGATAGGAAAGTGCCACTCCACCGCGTTTCCGCCATCTATCCTTTTCATATCGACAAAATTGACCGTGTCGTTTGGGTGAATGCCATCAGACGTCGTGTGTTGTCCGGCAACATCCTCCAAAGCAATCGTCTTCAAAGAAGAGCCCGTGACGCTACCAACACCAGCCGAACCTGACACAACAACAGAGTGCGTCGGTGGGGATAAAGTGACGCACGCCTCGTCCTCCCCCTCCGTTTTACCCAGTGAGTCAGGAGCACTGTCCTCTGCACTCACAGTATCTTCAGTGTTCTTGGACAGATGCCGAGACCTGGCAAAGCTGGGAGAACAGATCCACATGCTTTTATCATCCGCAGCGTCTTCACTCGGCACATCCACAATACCCCTCTCTAAAGGGCGCAAAAAAGCCTCCTCAAGCCCTTGCTGTAATCGCAGAAAAAAGTAGTTTAAAGGCGACTCGTTACTGTTTCCCCCACCATTTCCATCATTTTTGCTATCCTCCTCCACTGCTTGAAATAAAGATGGATTCGATACGGATAATTCAACCGAAAGCATACCGGTCGTTTTGCTCGCGACACTATTCCGCGTGCCCTCAAAGCCATGCTCTGACATGCGTGGTGAAGAGCGAAAAGACGACGGTGCAACGAGTTCTTTCAATTTTTTCAGCATCACACTGTCCACTAGAAGAACACGCACAGCGCACACCACTTTGGCATCGTCTGTATAGCCACACACAATCTTGCTACCACACCTTATATTACGCTCCACCCCGCCACTCAGCTGTGCACCTGCCGTCACCGTGTGTGCTCGTATCGTCGTTGCGTCCATCGGTGGTGTTCCTGAGTGGATGTCAAAGATGTTCAGGAGTGTCGGTGACCTGAACGAGATGGCGAGGTGCACCGGTGAGGGCGCACGGTTCAGAAGTCCCGCACGCCCAAATGACTGCACGGGGTTTGACAGGCGGATACGCTGATCGTCCGTGTGACTCACGCTGAGGTGTGGATTTCCGTTAAAATCCATCTCCCGACGCATCACGGGCACCCATTGCACGCCATTGAAGGGCTCGTCAAGCAAACGGCAGCGGAATCCGCCACCCACAGACACCTCCTTCGCGGAACCCCGCCCCCGCAACATTTCATCCGTGGAATGCAACGAATTCGCCGGGGACGTGGGCACCGGAAACGTTTTCAGCAACGACAACAACATCCCCTGCTGGGATCGCCGCTTCTTCTTCCTTGACCGCTTCTGCATGTCCTCGTACTGCTCGATGCTCCCCTCGGTGGTTGTGTTCTGCACGGCCAGCAGCACCCCGCCACCCACGCAAAAGAAAACGCAGAAGACACCACTCCCCTCAATGCCTTTGACCACTCTCCTTGATGCTTGCCGGACCATACAGAGGCACAGAGAGAGAGAGAAAAAAAAAGATAAATTTTTGAAAATGAAAAGAAATAAGCCCCTCCTCCTCCGCCTCCTCCCTCCAAAAAAAAAAAAAAGAAAAAACAGTTGCTATTTGTTGGGTATGCGCCAGAAACCCGCAGCAGGACAAAACCATTCCTCTGGCAGTCTCTCAACAAAAAAAAAAAAGGAGGTGGGCAACAGCAATCGTCAGCAAAGCAAATAAAAGCGGTGCGTGTGCGTGGGGGAGGGAGAAAGACCCTGCAGCGTGCACCACCGACCACCACCACTGCATTTATTTGTGTCTCCCCGGCGGTTTAGAAAAAACCACCACAGAAGAACTCCTGTTTGTTTCGCAACAAGACGTCAACAACAAAAAAAAAAAAAAAAGAGCAAGAAAGCAAAAGACACCTGTCTAGGTTCCATCATCGGCATCCATGTATATATACAAAATCATGCACATCTGTTGACATGCGTCCCCTTTTGAGGGCAACAGGGAAAACTGCACGAGTAAATAACATTCCCCCTCCTCCCTCCCTCCTTCCAGTTCACACACATACATTGTACAGTAAAAAAAAAAAAAAAAAAAAGAAATTCGCCATCAATAACCACACAAATTTTTCTAGTACGTATATATATATATATATGTATATATATGTATATACATAAATTAAACAAATAATTCTGTATGTATATATAACTAAAAACCGACACACAATGTATGAATATCATATACCTACACAGCACACGCACAGTTTGAACCAAAAAAAGAAAAAAATAAGAAATAAAAAAAATTGAAAGGCACGCATACACACACAGACAAAAAAGAAAAAAAAAAAAAAGAACGTTAAACTCATATACAACTAGCACAGAAAAGCAGTGACTTCATCATTTTTAGTTTTTCGTTTTTCTGCCTCACTTCCATTTACTTGCTGTGTGATCCGTGTTTACATCAGATGCATCACCCATAGCCAAATTTATGGCCATTTCATGTTGGCTTGTTGTTGTTTGGAGTCAGCGCTCCTCTCGCAGCAGCTGTAGGGCTCATGGGGGCGGCGGCGGAGGCTAAACAGCGCCATGCATTGTCTCTACAGCTGTCATCCCCCTCTCAATGCTCAGACATGACAGTTTTAAAAATGCGCTGGAAAAGATCGCTCTCCTCTTCAGAGTCATCCGTCCACTCCGTCTTCCCTATCGAGATATTTGACGGCCCCCCGGCAGCATCGCCATCCCCGTGAAGAGCTTTCCGCGTGGCAGAAATCTGCGCCAAAAGTGACGCGGCCGTTTCTCTTGGCGATGTGGCCGACAACGATACCTGCGATGACCACGTCGGGGGCGAGAATGCATGAGCAACGTGGCCTGTCTCCTTATCACTCATTGCCGTCGCCGTGGATGATCCATGCAATTTCTCCTTTGAATTCTTCGCTGCAACCGCAGTCCTTGTTCCCGCATGATCAGCTCTCGATGCGAGGAACGGCGGTGCGGCACATGTCGTGCTACTTTGGTGTATGAGACTGTCATGGCGTGCAGAACGCTGCGAGTTACAGCCGCTGTCCACGGCAGACGAAATATCACATGACCTCCTCCCCGGATGAGTTGCATCCTGCTGCTGGTGTAAGTGAATTAGATGGTTCGGGGTCTCTTCTTGCCTCTTGCATGTCTCTGCTGATGGATTTCCACCAATTGGCATCTCCTCCAGGGATTCGGGAACGAGCGAAAGTTTTTCTGCTAACTTTGCGGCACGGCGCAGCCATGGTTGTTTCAGCGCCTCTGCCACCGTGCTCCGGAGCTCTGGATTCGGTTCCAAAAGGGACTGTACAAATGAAATGGCCTCGAGGCTGATGTGCTTCCAGTGATCACTATTGCACTTTGGGGTACAGCGCTGCTGCTGCTGAGCCATGCTTGCCCGTGAGGCCCCGTTAAAGGGGAAGCAGCCACTGAGGAGGACGTATGCAACAATTCCAATGGCGTACGCGTCAAGTTGTCGCGCCATACGAAGTGTTGTGAGTTTCCTTTTCCATCCGTAGCTGACGATCCAACTTAGCATCTCCGGAGGAAGATACTTGTCGGTGCCGCATGGCGTCAAAAATAGCAGCATCTCTCCATCATCTTGACCCTCTTCACGCCATGCTCGGGCGTTTGGCTCGCCACGCTCAGTAAACGGAGCCGACGGGGTAGCGCCCGCCCCCTGCAAGGCGGCGGCTGTTAAAGGCATGGTTGGCGCAAAACGGTAGAGGGGGTCACCGCAAGAACGCGTGATGAATTGTTCCTTGGAATTCAAAATGGTCGCTGTCTCCAATTCGCCTTTTTGCTGGAATTCAGTCAGCGTAGACTCGCCGGGACCCTCAGCCATCGCAATCCCAGCCCCATCCGCAAGAGCCAAGGGCTCTGCGGTGGAGACAAGAAGGGATGTCATCGATGTGGTGCATTTCGATACATCGCCTCCAACCTCCATATGAATTTTCTCCGTGTCTTCCTCCCCACCATCGTCCTCGTTCTTGTCAACGTCATCGTCCACATTTATCCTTCCGTAACTAACGTTGCGGTCATCATCCTCATCGTCATTGGCACTGGAGGATGTAGTCTCGGAAGGAGTCTCATCGCTGCTTGACGCACCAGAGCCACTCTCAATATCCACAGACATAAACATGTTGGCTGCGGATGGTAATGGTGTAGGCATGCCCACACGAGAAAATCGGTTGCTACAACTACTGTTCATTTGCGATTTCCCCACATTGCCTTCGCTAAAGCCACGACTCCGGTATTTTTCACCGAGTTTTGTTGTACGACGGGCCAAGCCAAAGTCAATAAGAGTCACTTTCAAAAGCCGCTCAAAATTCTCAGAACTTTGTTCAGAAGAAATAGAGCCCCATACCGATGCCAAACGGTTCCTCGGTTTTTGAACGTCCTTCTTGTTTTCCTTGTATTCCAGCGTTTCTATACTCTCCTCCTCATCCTCGTCTTGCATGGTAGACTCCGTCTCACGCGAACGTGTCGCAAAACCCGTGCCAAGAACCTGCCGAATGCAATCCTGGGAGGCGTCAATTTGAGAAAGAAGCAAGTTCTCCAGCTTGATGTCCCGGTGAATAATGCCATAAGTGTACTGCAGATATTTAACAGTCCGGACCAGTTGATAAATGATAAGAGCAACACGAGCTTCGGAAGGAGGACCATTAAGTTGAAGGTACCGTCGTGCATCCATGCAACCTCTCCCCATGTTCATCACAATTACAAACTCATCGGGTGTACGCAACGCCTCCACAAATTGTGAACACCCCGTGTGGCGCAATGATCGTATGATAGATATCTCCCGTTCAATCTCCACTAACTCACGGTGCAGAGCGTCATGATAATCCACACCGCCACCACCATGAATGGAAACCTCTACATCCCGTCCATGCATCTTGCAATGGACAGTGACTTCATGAGCTGCACCTTCCTTGGATACCTGCTCCTTTTTTTCGCCACGCCATTTCGCGTCTGAAGCCATAAGGGCCCCCTTCTTCCTTCGGCAGGGAATAACTTTGATTGCAAAAAAGCTCACACTTGTATTTCCCCGAAAAAGAGGCACCGCACGGAAGACACGCGAAAAAGCCCCGTCGCCAACAAAGTCTGCATCGGGGTTAAACACGTACTCATCCTGTAGGCAACTCACCTTTCTGCATACATGAGTAGATGGGGAAACGAGATGTAGCGCCAATCCTTCTTTATTATTTGGCAGCTCGGCAGTTCCATCCTCTCGACAATTGTGCGGTCGTCCCTTGCCACGCCTCTTGTTTCGTACCCTATAAAAATCCCGAGAGGATGATGGTAGAGGCGGAGAAGAAGACGCCCGTTGCCGTGGCCACTTCCTCCGCGGTGAGAACCCAGATG